TACAGTGGGTTTTCTCAGGTCACACTGTTGCCGGTCCCACCAGCACGCAAGCTGAGACACACACGATCGCGATGATGAATCGCATCAATGACTGATGGGCGTAAAGGCTGTCGAATTGGGGTTGAACTGGGAACTGTATTTAAAAAAAAAAAAAAAAAGAGGAAGGGTGGGGGATCACAGCAGGAGAAAAAAAAAAAAGAAAAGGAAATGGCATAAAAAAATGGTCGACCCTGCCTGTCGGCTCAGCCGGACTGGCAAAAAGTAGAAACCACAAACTGCAAGAAGTATTAAAAGAGGAAGAAAAAAAATAGGGAGAGGAGCTTTCTTGGAAGGGAGGGTGCCTGGCCTGGGAGGTGTAACGTCAACGCTCTCGGATTCTATTCCTCCTCACCATTGCGAGAAGTCACAGTTTCACTCTGCCCAAGGCTCAAGCCAGTGCCAAGCTCTTCGGTATGAGCTGTGGCAGCCGCGAGGGCCTCGCTGCTAATGTGACGAAGAGCGGCAGCTAGTTTGTCACGCTGCTGTCGTGCATGCTCTGCCTCAGCCTTGAGCTGCTCCTCGTTGGCCAGCAGCTCCCTGAGCTGTTTCTTCATGTCGCTCATTGCATATCGCAGGGTATCCTGGACGGTGAGTGCAGACCGCCCAGCACAGTGAGCGGCGTGGCCATTGAAAAATCACGAGAGCTTGTCGTGTCAACCTACAATTTCTGCATCCTTTTCTTGCAAAACCGTGGCGAAGCCAGCCTCTTGTTCCTGCAAAAGAAAAGGTCACGCCAGCGTACCAGCACATCCATGCACGTGCACATGAGCCACTCAAATTGCCGCACGCTCGAGAGAGGCAAGGTCCCCGCTCAGTTCGCAGTACAGTCAGCTCCGTCCCACTTGCAAAGAAGGGAGCATGACAAAACAGGTCAACGCCCACGGGCCCAGAATGCAGGGCCCACAGAACCAACCTGCATTAGAGTGTGCATGGCCTGCAACTGCTTGTTGGCCTCGGCCACCACCGTCTTGTTGGGCGCGACAGACATGCTACTGGACTCGAATGCTCCTGCTCCAACTCCAATCTAAAAAAAGACCCAAATCGAGACAAAGTGGAAAAACGGGGTCAATCAGTGCGGTGTTGGCAAGGCTTATGGCCTGCTCTCTCTAAGCTTTGAGCCGATGAGGTGACCGCATATCCATCCCAAACAAGATGATTCGATCAAGTTGACGCGCATCCAACACAGCAGCCTCCCACCAGCCCACGCGGGGCAGCATGGCCACGAAGCAGGCACTGCCATTTGCTCCGATCGACAGCTCACGAAGACAGTGATCATACAGTTCTATCAACAATCCGTAAAGTATTTTACTTCTCCCGTCCATGTGCGCCTTCCCGCACATGCAAGACGCCATAAACTGTACCATTTGACACACTACCCCTTGTAGCTCAGCGCTCTCTCTCTCCTCTCTCTCT